CTGGGCCCAGGTGTTTTTAAAGGCAAACCCACAAGTTTAGGGAGGGGGTGGGACCCTCTGTCCATTGAGTATGTGACCCTTGGAGGCCAGGCCGGATGGTCTGCTATTAGGGTCAACAGACCTTAGGGCCTCAGGGTGTGCTAATTAATCTTGTCTGGGCAAACCAGAGTTGCAGCTATCTCTTTGTTTCCTAAGGACCCTGTTTACCACCTGTAGACTCACAGGAAAGGAGGGGCAGAAAGGAGGGGCAGTGTGAATTCTTGTCATCTCAGGGCCTGGTGAGAGGAAGCTAGCAAATTCCAAGGAACAGATATTGGTTAGCTTTCCAGGTCAGACTGTCCTTCATTAACATTACTTTTTTGGTCTTTCAATGGCATGATAGGGAACCAGAGCAGTCAAACAGTTGTTGGCTCTGATGCTTGCTGCTCCTGCAAAGAACCTCGGTTCATTTCCCAGCACCCATATGGTAGCTCACAGCCATCCATAACTCCACTTCTAGGGGATCTGATACCTTGTTTTGGCCTCCATGGATAGCAAGTACATAGACAAACATGCAGGCAAAATAATCACATACATAAAATAAACCTTTAAGATAAGGAAACAAGCCGTGTGTTGGTGGCACACACCTTTGTTCCCAGCACTCCAGAGACAGAGGCAGGCAGATCTCAGTGAGTTCAAGGCCAGCCTGGTCTACAGAGTGAGTTCCAGAACAGGCTCTAAAGTAATACAGAGAAACCCTGTCTTGAAAAAACAAAAAAACAAAAACAAAAAAAGGAAACAAAGTCAACCATAAAACATTTGCTTAAGAGAGAGCAGAAAACATTCTTAACCTATGAGCCATCTCTCCCTAGCCTTTATTGTTGTTATTACTGGTGCTATGTAATGGTACTGAGCACACACTTTACCACTGAGCTATACTTTCAGCCCCTCTAATGAATCATTGACCCTGAAGTTACACAGAAATCTAGGAGTCTTGGGAACTTCACTTGTGGCTGGCTAAGTTAAAGGCAATCGGTTGGAAACTTTGCATTTAAACTTGTGATCACTATCATTAGCTCTACGTAGTCAGTGTCCAAATTAAATACAATTATAGGCCAGACTGGTTGGCAAACATCTACGATCCCAGACTTTGAAGTGAGTTAGTTCCAGGCAAACCAAAGCTTCAAAGCAATAATGTCTCAAAAAAAAAAAAAAAAAAATCAAACGGAAACAAAACAAGAATTCAATTGTAGAACATTCATCCAGTGTCAGAAAGTTGGTGGCAGGAGCTGGAGAGATGGCTCAGCTGCTGAGAGCATTTGTCACTCTCACAGAAGACCCAGGTTCTGTTCACAGTGCCCACCTGGCAGCTCATAACTGTAACTCCAGTCCCAGGGATCTAATGTCCTCTCTGTCCTCCCAAAGGCGCCAAATGCACACATACATATACATACGTATAAACTAAACACTCCTACACATAAAGATAAACTTTTTTAAAAGTTTCTGTTGAATGCAATAAGCATAGGGCTTTTACAAGTTCTGTGAGGGAGAGCCACAGAAACACTGAACTATAAGCTGCTAGGTGGGACAAAGACAGCTCAGACACCTTGTGTCTGAGTCTGGTGTCTGAAGTGAGCGCAACCTTGTGGGAGGTCATGCACCTTACTGTGAAATTCTGCTCAGCTCCAGGTAGGTGATGACAGGGGCCTCCCTAGAACATTGTTCAGCTATGGGAAGGAAAAAGGCATGGATTCTTGCTGCAACATGGGTAAACACTGACATGTTTATGGTACTTGAAAGAAACCAGACTCAAAAGATGATGGAATATATGATCTTGTTTATACAGTGTATAATCTAATTAAATCTATAGAAATAGAAAGTAAATAAGTTGTCTTGGGTTTGCAGGTTGAGGTTGAGATGGGTGCAGAGGGATTTGGGAGTTGGTAGGTTTCTTCATGTGTTGGAAATGTTCAAGAATGAACTGTGGTGGGGTAGTTGCCCATGTCTGAGAACATACTGGTAACCAGCGAATTAACCTTCATATGATAAATTGTAAGCTAGGCATAGTGGTGCACAGCTAAACTCAATCTCAGTGTTAGGGGAGGAGTATCACAAGTTCAGCACTAGCCTGGGCTACTTGTAAGACTCTATTTTCAAAAGGGGTGACAAGGGATGAGGAGATGGCTCAGTGCTTGCTATGCAAGCATGAGTTTGGATCCCACACATAAAAAACTGAACACAACCACATATGCCTGTAAACCCAAAGCTAGGGAAGCAAAAACACAAAGATCTCTGGGACTTGCTGAGCTCGTCAAATTCATGAGTTCAAAATGGACCCTGTTTCAAAAACACATAAAGCCATATGTCTTTAATCTCAATACTCGGAGGACATAGGCAGACAGATCTGTGAGTCTGAGGCTAGCCTGGTCTATGTAGTGAGTTCCAGGTTAGCCAGGACGACACAGAGAAAGTGGGTAGTTTGAATGTGATTGGCCCCATAGGCTCATAGATGTGAATGCTAGTTTCCCAGTTGGTGGACTCTTGGGAAGGGTTAGAAAATGTGGCCTTGTTGGAGGAGGCGTGCCACTGGGAGGTGGGTGCCATGCCTGTCTGCCTGCTCTCACCATGATAATGGACTAACCCCCTGGAACTGTAAGCAAGTTCCATGGTTTCTTTGATAAGAGTTGCCTTTATCACAGTGTCTCTTCACAGCCATGGAACACTTAAGACAGAGAACCTGTCTCAAAATAAATGAAATAAAACAAAGTAAATGAACCAGGCATGGTGGTTTATGCCTTTAATCCCAGCATTTAGGAGGCAGAGTCAGGCAGATCTTTGTGAGTTCAAGGCCAGCCTGATGTACATAGTGAGCTCTGAGCCAGCCAAGGCTAAATTTAGTAGTGCCCCTAAATAGATAAATAAACAAACAAATATTTAAATAACTCCCTGTGGTATCTTAAAAGAATGTTCTCTATGGGCTCATGTCTTTGAAGCATGTGCTCCCTGATCAGTGATGTTGTTTAGGGAGGGCATGAAACCTTTAGGAAGTAGAGCTTTGTTTGAGGAAGGATGTTTCTGGGTGAGATTTGAAAGTTTAAAGACTTGCTCCACTTCCAGGCAGCCAGCTTTCCACTCTTTCTTTGAGGGGGACAGGATGAGATGGGGCAGGATTTCTCTGTGTAGCCCTGGCTGTCCTAGAACTCGCTCTGTAGGCCAGGCTGGTTTCGAACTGATCCACCCCTGTTAGGCCTTCCTGCTCTCGTAGCCATCCTATCCCATCCTCACCCACCCACCCCCGATGTTATAGACCCTAGCGCTCTGCAACCATAAGCCAAATTTATTAGTTAAGTTGTTTCTGGTCATGGTATTTTATCACAGTAACAGAAAAGTAACTAATACAGTAACTAACCAACCAACGAATCAATCAATCAATAAACAGATGAAGAATCAGTTGAGGAAGATGCCTGCCATCAGCCTCTGGCCTCCACACACCAGCCCTATACACTTACACAGAAGATAAATTATATGTCATACGAATTACACCATTTCACAAAGCTGATATAGAAATAAATAATGGTTATGTTTTAGAAATTTATACAGGAACCTGGCATAGTAGCACATGCCTGTAACCTGAGCACTTGGGAGGTGGACCAGTAGGATCCAGAGTTCCCGCAGAGCTTTACTGATGGTTTCAGTTCCAACTGTTAGCACCTAGCTTTGATCTGCCTTTCCTGGCTGCTTCCTTCTGTTTGAAGTTTGTTAATCTTATCAGAGAATTTCCCAAAGGTTCAAACCCTATGCAAAACTTGGTTGTGGGAGGAGATGTCCTGTGAGGAGATGTCCTGTGACTGGGAAGTGTTTTGGCATTGTCTGTTTGGGGAGCTTCAGATAAGAGGTTTTGGGATGCAGAAATTGACTTGCTTAGGTTGTATAACAATGAAAAGCCTTTTTGCAAAGCTAAGGTCAGTTCATCAGAAGCTGACTCCCCTGCATCCTGAGAGACTAAAAATCATCCTAGAATGACCCCTATTCTTTCATAGACCCCAGTGAACAGGACACAGCAATCAGGGTTTCAGGACCAGCCGCAGCTATGTAGTGAGATCATCCTGGGCTACATAAGACACTGTCCCAAAAAAGAACAAAAGAAAAAAAAAAGAGAGAGAGAAATATGTCCTGAAATAGTTATGAAGTCGGGTGTTAAGAACCATTTGCTGCCGGGCGGTGGTGGCGCACGACTTTGATCCCAGCACTCAGGAGGCAGAGGCAGGCTCTGTGAGTTGGAGACCAGCCTAGTCTATAAGAGTTAGTTCCAGGACGCTTCCAAAGCCACAGGGAAACCCTGTCTCTAAGAGGAACCAAAGAAATAAGAATGGCCAGAAGTTGGTAACTGATGAAGCAGGCCACCTGAGGGTTCATGACACTATGTCTGAACTCTTTCCTAAAGAGGGAGGGATAAACACACAGAAGACAAGGAAAGTCACTTCCTTTGAGAGGTAACCTGCCCAGAGTCACTGATCACCCCACCCACAGATGTGGGGCATGAATTATTAAGGGGAAACTGAGATGCTCAGAAGTCATGGAGCCTGGAAAGGTAGTGAGCACACACACTGTCCCTCCCATCCCACCTGCCAAACTGATTGTGGTGGTAAAGGTGGAGCCGGGTCAAGGATCAGGTAAGATGCCTGGGGGTGCTTGCCTAGTGGGAAGGCCTGGGTTTGATTCACAACACAAACCTGTAATCTTATTACTAGGAAAGCAGAGGCAGCAGGATGAGAAGTTCAAGGTCATCTTTGGCTAAATAACAGTTCCAGGCCTCCTTGAGCAATATAGCGAATATAGTTTAGTGGTAGAGTACTTGCCTAGTATATGAGAGGTCCCAAGTTTAATTCCCAAAACTACATTCAAAAGAAAAAGTGAATGCCCCAAGGAGGGTAGCCAGAGGGGGTGGGAAGCCAGCTCAGGTTGGAGGCTGGGGGTGAGGACATGAGGAGCCCCTGAGCTCATCTCTCAGGAAACCCCACATGAAGCCCACCCCCTCAGGCTTCAAGGAAACCGATGGCCCCACACTTCTTTTGGAGGGATCCAACAGCCTTCGCCTACTGCAGCCAGGCAGCCTGGAGCCTCAGGTAGATGGTGTGGGATGAGGGGAACAGGGGAAGAAGAAAATGCCTCTACTGATGCCATCCATGTCCACAGGAACACAGCTTCATCTTTGACAGAGTTCTGGGCCCTGGTGCTGCTCAGGTAGGGGGCCCTGAGAAAGGGGCGGGAGGAGAATAAAAGCCCCCCTCCCCACCCCCCCCCCGCCTCTGCTTCCTGGGACTCTGACCATCCAGTCTCTGCTCAGCGCGGGCTGTAACAGGTGGCCTGACAGAGCGGCTTGCCTGTGTGTTCCTACAGGAAGCAGAGCAGGAACTGTTGGCACAAATCCAGCCTCTGCTGGCCTCTGTGGGACAAGGGTACAATACATCTCTGCTTCTCCAGGACTGGGGAACAGAGGCACCCCGCTTTGTGCCTCAGGTGAGGAGCTGCCAGCCTGTGGGTATCCTGATGTCCAAGTATTACTTGGGAACTCTTTGCCTGCTCACTCCAGCCAGACTAGGGATAGCTTAGATCTCCCGTGCACCCTGTGGTCCTTGGAGGACATTTACCAAGGTCACTTTATGCAGCTGAGAAGTCAGGAAATACAGGAAGCTGTGGCTCGTGGATGAGACAAGCAGGGAGATCAAATCCCCAGGACACCTGACTTGCACACTCGGCAACACTGCCAACACCACACTTAAAGCTTTTCAATGAAGTTTTCATCAAAAGACCTTTAAGTCGAAAGAGCGGCCTCTGAGCCTTACCAGCACAGGGCCTGTTACAGATAAATGCTGGAGGACAGACTGATGCTCTCTCATCCCCTACTGAGCTCCTCTCTGTTTTAGGTCCTACAGGTGCTGTTTGAGGAGGCTCTGCCTCTCTGCAGCTCTGGTCCTGTGCTTTCTACTCTCAGTCTGGTGCAGGTGAGGTCACTGGAGGGGAGGGGAAAGGGAAGGGGAAGGGAAAAGGGGAAGAAAAGGGATAAGGGGGTGCAGAACTAAGTGACACCACAGAACCCCCTTGAGGCTTGTGGAGAGTCGAGAGGGAAATGGGCCCAGCCTCCCCTGCTACTCCAGCTGGGGCTTGCCTCTCTGGGGTTGCCTTTATATGCCAACTGTCAATGGCTGAAGTAAAATATTCACATGCAAAACTATGAATAAAAATAGGATTGTTGTTTTTTTTTGTTTGTTTTTGGTTTTTGATTTTGCTTTTTTGAAAGAGGGTCTCCCTACACAGTCCTCGAAGTCATGGAACTCACTCTGTAGACCAAGCTGGCCTCAAACTCACAGAGATTTGCCTGCCTCTGCCTCCTGAGTGCTGGGATTAAAGGTGTGCACCACCACCACCATCTAACAGCTGAATTATTATCTTCACTTAGCCCATAGGACCTATAGGAAAGAAAGGCTTAGCCTGTGACAATTGTCTTTGTGTGATCCCAGATTAGCCCCAGTGGGCAGACGAGGGACCTGCTCTCCCCATGTCTGGAGGACCTGCCAGTACTGGATATGGCCCCTCTGGGTTTGTAAGTGTTAAGGCCCAATGGGACAAGGGCACTAAACTTAAAGCCCCAGTGACACCTTCCAAATAAACTTGGTCAAGATAAGCTTCAAGATAAAAATAAGCTTTAAGATGAGGGTTCTACTCTGCCACCCCAGGAGAATGAAGCCCTTGGCTTGGAGTCAGGCTTACTGGGCCTAGATGGGCTCCCGGGACCTCTCCCCCACTCTTTCCTTTCCCACACCTATGTACCTTATTCCCTTCGTGTCAAATACATTCCACCTCTCATGCCCACCCTTATGGCCTGAATCAGTCCAGTATCACACCCAGGTTCCAAACACTCCCAGAGCAGGTTTTCCATCGTTGAAATCCTCTCAACAAACCTGTTTCCCTTCCTGGGCAGACCAGAGGAGAAAAGCAAGGTTAGAAAGATGAGAGACACGTCGGAAGGTACAATGAGCTCTGAGCCTTTGGGATAATTCTTGTATGCTATGGACACTGTCAATGGCTTTGAAGGCAGAGATGCCAGAGCTTGCTGCATAGCGCAGGGGCTACAGGGCTGCGTTCAACTTCCCTTTCTTCAGAGTGGTGAAAGATGCCAGTGAAGTGGAGGTGTCTGACGCCCAAGCTGCCTCTGAGGTGTACCTGAAGGCTGCTGGGCATGGAGGCAGGTGAGGACAAGACACCTGTCACCTTGCCCACCCCCAGTCCCTGTACAACTCTAGGTTTCATTCCCAAGCTGGCCATGTCGTCTGCAGGGCCTGCTCTCTGCTCACTCTTACCATGTCCTGCCCTGGGCCTGAGCGTCAGCAAGTGTGTCGAGGTGCCCTGAGGATCATGCAGCTTCCGGGAGACCCGTAAGTCTGAGGAGTCTTGTGGTTGCACTGGGAGGTGAGGTGGACGACAAAGTGTGGATGTGAATCTAAATGTTCAAAGCCAAGATTGGAAAGTTCCCCAAGCAGCCATCCCACCTTCAAGCCCAATTCACACCTTTCCCTCAGTGTTCGAAAATATTGACAACTGGGGGCTGGAGAGACGGCTCAGTGGCTAAGAGCACTGGCTGCTCTTCCAGAGGTCCCAAGTTCAATTCCTAGCAAACACACAATGGCTCACAGCCATCTATAGTAGGATCTGATGCCCTCTTCTGGCATAAAGGCATTCATGCAGATAGAGCACACCTATACATAAAATAAGTAAAAATAATGAAAACCTCAAGTTATCACAGTGAGTAATCATTTCAGGCCAGTTTGCAAAAATGTGCAGTACCACAGGAATATTCCCAAACTCAGGAGTGTCTAAAAACAAAATAGAAATTTTTTTAAAAAGGGCAGAAAACTGAGCAATGGTGGTGTGTGCCTTTAATCTCAGCACTTGGGAGGCAAAAGCAGGCAGATCTCTGTGACAAGCCAGCCTGGTCTACAGAGCAAGTTCCAGGCCAGGCTCCAAAACAATACAGAGAAATCCTGTCTCGAAAAACCAAAAAAAAAAAAAAAAAAAAAAAAAAAAAAGTGTGTGTGTGGGGGAGGGGGCAGAAAGTAACCTAAATTTCAGAGTACTCTAAGGTTTTTTTCTTTTATTGTGTAAGATTCTTTCTTTAAAATTTCATTCATTTTTATTCATGTGTCCATTTGTCTATATGTGCATTGCATATGCCCAGTGCCTACAGATCCCCTAGAGCTGGAGTTATAAGCAATTTGAACCACCTGGTGTGGATACTGGGAATTGAACCCAGGTCTCTGCAAGTCTTCTTAACTCCTGTCTGGTGGTACAAAAAGTGAAAATAGATGTGGTGGGGTGATTCTGGCCAGTGTTGGTCCTCCTCATCTACCACAGGGCATCCTCACCTTTCTTCCCTCCCTACGGCAGAGCCTGCCCCCTGCTGAGAGTGCTGGCTGGTGAGGCTGCTGGGGAGGAGGAGGGCTCTCTGCCCTGGATTGTCTCCTGGCTCCTGGAAGGCAACAGCTACAGTAGCCTACTTCTTCACCTGGATGCGCAAGGTGGTGAGGGTGGGGTGGAGTGCTTTGGAAAGCTCTGTGATATTTGTTACTACTCAACCAGCCACTGCTCTATTGTAGACACAGAGAGTGCTTGATTCTCTGGGTGGGCCAGCATTCAGGAAGGTTGGGCTGTTCTGGGAGTATTTATGTAGCCTAGTTTAGTTAGAACTCACCATCTTTCTGTCTTAGCTTCCTGAGTACAAGGGTTACAGGGGTTATAGTTGTTTGCCACCACATTCAGGATCTTTTTTTATTTTTTTCTTCAAGACAGGGATTCTCTGTGTACCCTTAGCTGTCCTGGGACTTGCTCTGTAGACTAGGCTGTCCTCGAACTCACAGAGGTACACTTGCCTCGGCCTCCCCAATGCTGGGATTAAAGGCACGTGCCACCACCACCCGACCATATTCAGGATCTTTATCAAGCATTTAAACACCTTTATTCTTCAACAGGGTCTCACTGTAGCCCAAGCTGCCCCTGAACTCCTGGAAGTCTGCCTGCCTCAGCATTCTGAGTGCTGGAATTCCAGGAGTAAGTGGCCACGTCCCAGAACGCAGGTCTAATTCACAAATGAGAGGGAGGCAGGCCTAATTTATATATTGGGAAAGGACTACAGAGGGGACAACACTTTCCTATTTCTACACACCCATTACGAATGAGGCCCCTGAAGCTATAATACCACAGATTAGGGGGGAAATTACAGTGGGGCACATAGATTAGACCACAATATCAATGACGCTGAATATGGCGGCACAGACCTGTAATCCCAACACCCAGAAGACAGGGGTAGGAGGACTGCAAATTCAAGGCTAGAGTGGGTTACAGATGGTCTCACACACAAACAAAGGCTGGAAGAAAGAGGTAAGTTGGAGCACTTCACACCCTCAAGATACTAATTGGAATTTAAACTAACCTACAGGTAAACACCTGTCTGAAATGGAGGGCAGACACACAGGGAGGTCAGGGGTGTGTTTATCTGCAGGTTTTATATTCTGATAAATGGCACAGGCTTTAAGTGGCAGATGGATTAGAGTTGCTGTGGATAAAAATATAGATCCAAGAGAAGCTAAGCACAGGACCATTGAGTACAGTGAAAGTCAACTAAGAGCTATTAGGTGATGATGGTTGGTGGTGCTGATGCTGTTAAAGATGATGGTGGCGGTGGTGGTGATGGTGGTGGCATTGTTGAAGATGACAATGATGATGGTGGCAGGGCTAATGACTATGAAGGTGATAATGATGATTTGGGGCTGGGGGGGGGTTGAACCTTGAACCCTAACACATGCCAGGCAAGTCTACCACTGAGCTACATCCCTAGCCTATTTTACTTTTTATTTTGGGATGGGCTCACTAAGCTGTGAATCCAAGCCTTGAACTTGTTAACTTGTCTCAGCCACCAGAGTAGCTAAGGTGTCGGTGCTACGCCACCAGGCTTGGCAAGGGTTGGGTATTTTGATAAACAGCCCTGCGTAGCAATTTCGAGTATTACGGGCAGTGTGTTCTGTGGCACAGGAAAGAGACGTCTACTGTGCTGTCTCTTTTTTAGGGAGCTCCCCGACTTTGCTCCAGGCTGCCCTGTTGGGGGCCTCAGGAAAGAGGGCGCAGGTGAAAGAGGTGAGGCCCACCTTGTGGAGTGCAGTAGAGGAGATGAGGGCCCGTAGGGCCACTCTGAAGACACTGCGTTCAGTCCTCCTTGGAGACACCTTGACAGATGGTGGGTTGAGCCAATTTGGCAGGGCACTCTGGGAGCTACAGGTAAGCAAGATGAGACCAGGGTCACCTGGGTCAGCGGTGGCCAGTGCCCACTTGAGTCCTTTTCTCCTAGGTGGTAAAAGCCTGGGGACCAAGAAGCCATGCAGTGGAAGGGGCTAGAGCTGAGGCTGCGGGGCTCCCAGACCCACAGGTACATTTTCTCATCTAATTTATTGATTTCCAAACATTTATTGACCATGCGGCATATGCTGGGTACAAAGCCATGTTAGCTCTGGGATTTCCCTGCCCTGATAGAGTTTAATCTGAGAAGAGACGATCACATTGCCATGGTCAATATCCTCAGAAAGGCTTGGCAGCAACTGACTCTGAGGCATCGATATAGCCTTGAAAAAAGAGGAAAGCAAGATTTCATAGGAAGTGACTCCTGATGAAGGTTTGTAAAGACAGCAAAGAGCATCCCAGGCAGAGAGGACCACTCAGAAACCAGCAGATTTCTAGGGAAGTGCAAGCAATTTAATTGGCTGGAGAATGGAGAGTCAGGAACGAGTTGGAGATGGAGACAGAGGCATACAGGCTTTAGAAATATACTGAGACATTCAGATTTTCTCTTGAAGGTTAAAGGCGAGCCACCAAGCCACAGTAAGCAGGGAAGACGTTTTGCTCATTTGTCAGGTGAGCAAACTGAGGCCCAGAGAAGAAATGTGAGTAGCCTAGAGTCACAATCTCACTCTAGGCCCTGGAATGTGATGCTTTAATAATCCCTTGAGAGTCCAGTGGTTGTCAGCCTTCCTCAAGTTGGGTGATCCCATGACCATAAAATTATTTTCATTGCTATTTCATAACTGTAATGCATGTTTTCTGATGGTCTTAAGGCAAACTGTGAAAGGGTCTAGACCCACAAGTTGAGAACCACTGCTTTGTCTTTCTTGTCCAAAAGGGGGCACTGTCTTCCAGGATTTGCTGTAGGATGGTTGAAACCATCCTCCCACCCCCTTCAGCCCTAAGAGTTTGGTTACATTATTCATCCCCTCTACAGAGAGAGTGTGTGTGTGTGTGTGTGTGTGTGTGACACACACACACACACACACTTTGATGTGACTAATGGCATTTTCCTCCAGAGGCAGGAAGAAGATTTCTAGGATCTGGGCTTCATCAAACACATCCTCTCAGGCACTCTGAGGAACAGGTAATATTAATACTTCATGTACCCCCCAAAATAACTGGACACTTGGGGGAGTAAGGAGCCATCAAGCCCTGTGCTGATCCTGGGGAGAAATATGGAGTTTCTGACAAGGACCTAAAGGCTTCTGGGATCTCTTGGGGTGGGAGACGGTCATGGGAGGAGCTGCCGTCCTGGGATGGATTATGCTATGACAGTGCAAGAGCCAGGGGCAGAGCTCCTCCCTCCACCCACAGCTGAGTCTCTGCTCAGTCTATGGACTCTCCCAGGCCCTTAGAGTCTAGGGACAGACCTGGCAATGAAGTTCCGTTGGAAAGGTTGGTGTCTGTGTTCCAAATGTATGCATACCCTGACTTGTGATTAAGCCTCAAACAATGCTGTTTAGGTCGGGCAGTTCCCAGACGTGGCCCTGCAGTTCTTTCTGGCCCAGGCTCGGCGGCAGAGACTTCGAGAGCAACACCAGATTCGGATACAGGAATTGCTGAAACATGTGGAACCTCAGGAGGAAGTAGCCTGTAAACAGATCAAAGGAATGTTGGCAGGAGAGGTGAGGAGGGAGGGGAGAAGTATGGGGCCTGAGGCTCCTGTACCTAGGCCAGGCACTGTGGCGAGGATCTAGGCTCAATCATAATAGACTGGCCCACATGCATTATGGGGCACAGAAGAGGCCATAATCAGTACTGTTTGTTTGCTGTGTTGGGCAGTCATAGACGGATGGGAACAGTGAGGTCCACTTCACCCAGGCTGGAGTGGACCAGAGGAGACTGGGTCTAAATAGACTCAAGAAAATGAGAGTCAGCCCAGGAATTCACTTCATTCAGCTCCTTGAGGGCAGTCAGTGCTCATCATAAAGGTGCTCAGTAAATGACTGTTTACAAAATAAAACATGTGGCCAGGTGGTGGTGGTGCATGCCTTAGTCCTAGCACTCAGGAGGCAGAGACAGGCTGCTCTCTGTGAGTTCAAGGTTCAAGGCCAACTTGGTCTACTGAGCGAGTTCCAGGACAGGCTCCAAAGCTACACAGGAAAACCCTGTTTCAAAAAACTGGGGAAAAAAAGAAAGAAAAGAAAGACAGAGACAAGTAACCTGGCTCATAGGAACTCACAGAGTGTGAACCAACAACCAGGGAGCCTGCAGAGGACTAACCTAGGTCCTCTACACATGTGACAGTTGTATAGCTTAGTCTACTTAAAGACTCCCAACAATGGGAGTCCTCATACTGGATCACCTTGCCCAGCCTTAATACAAGGAGAGTCTTATTGCAACTTGATATGCCATGCTTTGTTGATACCCATGGGAGGCCTGCCCCCTTCTGAACAGAAACAGAGGAGTGGATTGAGGAGAGGGGCAGAGGCAGAGAGGAGGTGGGTAGAGGCAGGAGGGAAGGAAACCGTGGTTGGGATATAAAATAAATAAATTTTTAAAAAACTGCTTAAAAAAAAAAAAGAAGCAAAACACTTGTTCAGGTACAGTGGTGCAGGCCTCTCAGACCCAGGAAGGACAGGCAGGAGGATTGTGAGTTCAAGGCCAGCCTGGTCCATAAAGAAGATCCTGTCTCATTTTCATCCTCTCCCTGTAATAAAGTAAATAATAATAAAATAAACTAAAGATTAAGTATGTGGCAGGAGGGGACATGTTCTTAGATAAAGCAAAAGTCTAATAAAGTGGAGGGAAAAATAGCAAAACCGGCTCTGGGAGCACAGATTGTTCTGTCTGGCTAGAGCCTAGCAAGTGTGTAGTCAGAGGCAAGGTCACATCTCTGGGTTTGGATTTCACCTAGCGAGGATGGGAACTGGGGAAAGCATGTGCCATTCCAGCTCTGTCCTGCATTAGCCATGGGAGTTTGGTCAATCAGATCCTTCCCCTGATGCACTATTTGCAAAGTGCAGGAAGTTTTGTGCACAAAGCCTGGCACAGGCGGCACTCGCCAAAGCCACCATTTCCCCTGCAGGCTTGTGAGGAGAGAGACACACAGTGGAAGGAGCAGACAGCGCTGAAGCTTCAGGTGGAGACCCTGCAGGCAGAACGGGACATGGCAGAGCATGATCTGCTGGCCCTCTATGACTCGTACGTACAGGCCACCCGAGCTCGGACATGCCACTTGCTGCAGGTCAGTGGAGACAGGTTACGTAGGCCTTACGTTGATGCCAAGGCCGATGGACCAACAAGCATCTCTGACTCTGAATGCAGGTTTTCCAAGCCCGGCAGAGGCTGTGGGAGGAGAAGGCCATGGCCACGGAATACCACCACCGCAATCTGCTGGCTGGAGTCCTCCACGACACCATTGATCTGGCTTTGAAGATCCAGGAGCTCCAGGCCAGGAACCAGCAGCTTGAGCAGAGTGCAGGCAGGGCTGGTTGTGCTGGAGTTCTGCCCGGTGAGGAACCTGATCGGGAACACTATGTGGCTACTTTCCTTTGTCCTCATTCATGAGGGCCACAGAAGGGAGAGGAAGGTGGGGCATATCAACCAAGATGGCCCTCATTAAAAATAATCACCACTACCTAACCAGTCTCCTTGTACCAACCTTTACTAAGCAACTAAGCACTCAGTACCCATTATTTCATTTTTCTTTTTCAGCTCTCCTGTTTGTACCATTTGGCCCTCACTTCAGAGATAACCTCTCTGCCCAAGGATACTCGGCTAAGTAGCAAAGTAAGGGTTCTCTTACCGCTCTTCCTCCTGTGCCAGGGATGGAACCCAGGGCCTCTGCCTTTGAACTACAGCTTTAACCCTGCAACTTTTTTGAGATGAGTCTTGTACAGTCCAGGCTGACTTGAAACTTGCTTTATAACTAAGAATGATCTTGAGCTACTGGCTCTCCTACCTCCAACTTCGGAGTGCTGGGATTACAGGCTGGCGCCAGACAACTGAAGTACTGGGTGCAGTGTTCTAGGGAGCAGGGTCTGACAGTCCTCTGGCCAGGGTTTCAAAGGACAGATTACAGATACTAGTTGTGACAGAACCAGGAGTGAGTGAAAACAGTGACTTGGTATGGAGTCTCATGGCCATAAACTCTGCACTCTGGAGTCTGGGGTATAAGGGTTGCTTTCAATTTGAGGGCAGCCTAGGCTATTTAATCTGGACTATGATATGAAACCCTGCCTTGAGACATATTTGTGGCCATAAGTGTTTTCTATCCTAATTTGTTCTGCTGAGCAGAGTACTTTTCAGTCCCAACAATCTCTAAATATCTCAGGGCTTGTGATTTTAAAAACACAGGGCTTACATGTGTAGTCACATAGTGCTTGTCCATGGAACTACAATCTCAGGCCTTTGTTTTCTTTTTGAGATTAACACTTATTTAGCCTAGGCTGGCCTTTCATTAAAAAAACAAAACAACAAAAACATATCTTTTAGCAAAGCAGCGGCGGTACATGCCAGCACTCCGGAGGCAGAGGTTGGTGGATCTCTGTGAGTTTGAGGCCAGCCTGGTTTATAGAGTTCCAGGACAACCTGAGTTGCCACACAGAGAAAACCTGTTTCAAAAAGAACAATATGTAACTATTAGTGTTGTGGATGGGTATATGTGTGCCATGGAGGCCAGAAGTGTCAGATCCCCCTGGGGATGGAATTATAAATCGGCTGTGGCTGTCTGGGAATCTGGGTCCTTAGCAAGAACAGCATGCAATCTTAAGCATTATTAGCCAGGCCCACGTGCATTCTTGCTCCTTCTGCCTGTGTCCCAGGCAGAGGTTCACATTGCATCACCACACCCTCAGCGCCTCCTTTATAAGACAGGGTCTCATTCAGCAGCTCAGCCTGACTTTGAGCTTTTCTTGTTCTACCTCCCAGAGGGCTGGAATCACAGATGTGCCACACCATAACTGGTCAAGATGGATTCAGATTCACAGAGCTTCCAGGACAAACAATGCCACTGGCAATAGCTGGGAGATTCTCTCCTACTCCAGAAGTTACTCCAAAATTATTTAGGAAACTCAGGGAACTCACTTGAGGGGAGTCATGAAACACACAAAACACAGACAATTGTGAATGGTTGTAGGAAGCACCCTACACCCTGAACACTTTATTAAGACCTTATTGCTTAAGTAGTTAGACACTGATTAGCTATAAACGTTTTCTGTACCTGCTTCCTGTGCAGAGCTGGGACACCACTAGGAGGGGGCTAGAGTGGGAAAAACAGTACCTCCTAAGTCCCTTAGAGGTGAAGTGGGCTTCGATAGGGCCCTTGAGTTAGGACAGGAGTCAGGAGTGTAGGCTCGAGCCAGGGCCCAGGGCAATGTTCCCTGAGATGAGTCAAGCCCCAGCCCCCTCTGACCTTTCTAGAATGGCTGGGTAAGGGGAACAGGACTGTAGAGTGGGCAAACTAAGCATCCCTTACATGGGAGTCATGCTGTGCTGGAGCAGGCCAGCATGAAGCTTCAGGGCGAGGGGTCTTCAGGAGGGACCACTACAGGCATGAACAAAACTTCCCCCTTTAGTAGCCATGTTCATGCAGGACGAGGCAGGTTCCTCAAGGACAGGCTGCTTAAGCCTGGGCTTGAGGCTTCCAGTTCTTTAGTATGAAGAAATATAGGGGTGCAGTTAGGCCTTTCCTTAACCAAGCCCACTCTATGCTTCCTAGGGGTAGCATTCACCCACCTGAACATCCAGAGGCTAACATGACCACCTTAGCTTTTCTTACAAGGCACTTGTTACTGGGCTGCTGGGGTGGGTGGGGTGTGCGATGGGAGCTGGCTCTGGTGGTTGCATCTACTCTGCACAGCCACAGGTGAGAGTGGGGGTGGCCAAGGCCTTAGGGGTTTCCATAGTACAAACACACCGCCAGGCCAATGAGCAGTGTGGCCAGGAGGAAGGCGGCTGTAAGCTGGAGCTGCAGCAGCGCGGCCGAGAGCACAGCATTGACCACCAAGGAGCAGGACACTACGAAGAGGCGTGTGATGCTGCTGCCGTGCTTCAGGACAGCTGACATGAGCAGCCCATTCACTGCCTGGCTCAGCACCACAAGCACTGCCCATCCAGAGAAACCCTCCAGGAAGCCTGGGCCCGGGCCACTGCCAGCATACAGCCCAAGGTTCAGGATCACCCCAAAAGTGTAGAGGAAGAGGTTCTGGAGAGCCAAGGGCAGCCGCTGCCGTTTCATGATCAGTTCTGTGTACACCGATGACAAGCCAGAGATGAAGCAGTATAAGAGGAGGAGCAGAAGCCCCAGGGGAGAGATATGCAAGGGCATGGGATGGGCTCCGGCTGCCGATGCGGGCCCAGGAAGGTCATTCGCGGGTTCCTGAAAGCCACCTGATGCATAGCAGGCTCCTGCAGCCATCAGCAGCAGCAGTGCCAACCCCTGACGTGCAGAGAGGCGATGCCCAAGGCAGAGGCAGTACAACAGAGCTGTGCTTCCAATTTTGAGATTGCTCAGCACCTGATAGGTGCTGGGGTCCATGTAACGCTGCAGATAGATCACCAGGTTGTTGTTGGCGCCATAGAGCAGGGCTGATAGTGCAAAAGGTGCAGCCTGGCGCCAGGGTGGTGTGCCCTGGGGCCATGTTTGCCAGCCCACCAGGAGGGAGAAGGCGCACAGCAGTAGTTTGGTCAGCTCAGTGAGTAATACAGCTGAGGAGGGCCGGAAGGGCACTCGGCCATCCACATGGCACAGTGCTAAGAATGGTGCATGGGCACCATACATGGCAGTGGACAGGACTAGCATCAGGGTCCAGCGAGCCTGTCTTGGATGGGCTAGGCCTGGCATACCCCCATCTTCTACACTCATGGCCCACACCAGACCCTGGGTGGCCTGTGCAGTTAGCAACAGACAGAGGAACCGGGACACATCCGAAGGAAACCGAGTGCAGAACTGTGGTACATCACCAGAGAGAATACCTAGGAGCAGAGTCAGCTGCACACTCCACAGTCAGGGCTTGAGGAGAGTGCTCATGACCCATGGTTTTAGGTCAGTCCCATTAACTAGGGAGGGAAGGAATGCAGGGTGCAGGCTGACAAATCCCTGTCCACTCTCTGCAGGAAGAGAAGCAAGTTTGAAAGAGACAGTATAGGTGGGGACTTCAGATGGACAATAGCAGGGGAAGCCAGACCACGTGTCTGTGACAGGAAGGCCTCCACCCGCAGATTCAACAAGCTCATGCTGCCTTCTCCAAAGGGTCTAGTCAGGCCCCTTTCGTAGTGACCTAAAGTAGCTCTTCAGGGTCTTCGCCACGTTGGGCACGTCATATGCCTGAGCTGCATAGATGCCAGTGCAAGTGCCCACTGCAAAGCCCAATACTGCTGATGCCCTCAGTTTGGCCACCACATAGCCTGCCAGGAATCCCTTGATGAATGGCGAGGACAAGAGTGAGCTATCCTGCAGGGAAAACACAGAAGGAAATCAGGCGTGCTCTCCTTTTAAAGCTGGGCTGAGAGCATTTGACCACATGCATGTCCTCACTGATGACAGCAGTGCTCTCTTCTCCAAAGGTTATCTCAAAATTCTGGAGCTAGAAAAAGGATGCCAGAATCCTAGTCACACAATACCAGAATCCCAGGTTCAGAGGGCTCTAACCAGAACACCAACCAGCCAGAATGCCTGAAAGGCTTCTGAGGAACCTGAGCCCTGCCTTTTTCTCCAGTTTCATTTCTTAGCATGGTGTCTGATGACTACAAACTACCTTTCTCCTGCTTCATGTTCATATTGCTGCTTACTGCCAAGGCTTTGTCTGCACAGTACCTGGAATGCTCACCCCATCGCCACCTCACCTATTTAACACCTACTAAGATCTCAGCTCAAATGCTATTTGTTGGTTTTTGAGACAAGGTCTCTTGTGTGTAGCACTGGCTGGCCTACAATTCTTTTGGTAGACCAGTTGGCCTTGAAGTTGTGTGCACCACAATGCCCAGTTCAAGTGCTAAAATAAAACTCTTATGCCCTATTCAACATAACCAAGAGCACTTGGGGTTCTTACCTGACCTACACCACTGTTGACTTCATCTTCCACACGCTGCTGTAGGCGCTCTAGCTGGTTCTTGAGAAATGTCAGGTCCTTAAGCTTGGGCAGAGAATCCTAGGACAAGGGAGAGGCTGGCTCCAGCAGACTTGACCCAGTCCCATGCCCTGTTCAATTTTTATCAGAGGCTAGGAACTAGGTGAGCTGTGGGAGGGATGATGGAAAGAACCAAATAAATCTCTTCCTACAAAGCCTTCCTGAGATGGCAGGGATAAAGGAAGACAGACACCGAAAAGCAATACACTCATATAAGGGACAGGGAGGTGACAGAAAGAATGTGCACCAGAGACTTACAGTGACTTCTACAGAATCACAGAACAAGCAGAGGAACTTCTATTTAGCTTTAGGAAGGAAGTACTACTGACTGAAGTGCAAGCCTGCTGAAAATGGCCATTAGTCTACCCTCATTGCTGTGTCCCAGTACCTGACAGAGAAACAGGCAGGCTATTAACAAACCTGTGGATGATGCTGGGTTTCCAGACCAACTGTGGACAATGGGTTGAAGGAGTTCCCTGTACAGTTCGAGGTGAACCTGATATCTGCTTAGGCCGTTCCGAACTGAATGAGATTACATGGATACGTGGTGAGTAGCTGTCAGCAAGAGTGTGACTAAAAATCTCAGTCTGTGGCATGTAAATATGAAATCCAAACAGTGAGCAATAAATGTTTAAATGAGGGTGGTGGTAAGGGTGGAACGGAAATGCTGTCTCTGTAAGGGGGACTCCTGGGGCTAGAAAACGGCCCGTATGAGGATTGTTACACAGTGAATATATTTGTACGTGTGCTCATAATTAGGCACCGTGTCCAGAAGAGTAGCCCTTCGCCTAGAGCCCCCTACTGTTGCGGCAGTTGACAGGAACCCGGGGAAGGACAAGAACTTCCCCTGTCGTCTCTGCTCAAGTATAAAAAGGTTAAGGAATTTGAAAACCACGCGGACCGAAGCAGACCTCGCTTTCAACTCACCTTGTCATCCGCCATCTTGCCCGCCGAATTTGTTGCGCACGCGCAGCCCCGCCTCCCTATGTCAAAGGCTACTTGCATCTTTACTGAGGGTAGAGGCACTTCCGGGGCATTTCGGGAAAGGGCGGGGCGTTTCCCTAGTTACTCAAGGTTGTGCAGGCACTTGCTGCCACCCGACCCCTCCCGTCTGGTCCTAGGGTGTGTACGCGCGCGGGGAAAGGTCGGGGCGTGATGATCTCAAGCTCCACGCGATGATGTCATCCGTGCCCTGGTGCACAGAGTGCGCGTTCTCGCCCGTCTTCCGTCGTCTGAGGAACTCATAGTTGCCTACGGGTGCGGGGTTCGTAGTGTCGGTGCTCTTCGTAAGGACACACGCACCGAAACACACGAGGACTCGGGGACCCAGGCGCCGCGGCGCAGGCAGCCCTATCCCGCCCAGTGTTTGCGCGGCGCGGGTTGGCCCGGCGGTCTCCGGCGCAGAGGCTGGGCTTGTGCAAGGCCCTGCAGCTCCGGAGGTCGCCCTGGGCTGACAGCGCAGGTCGTCAGAGGCTATGTTGGGCAAGGATTATATGCTGGCCATCATTCTGGTCAACTGCGATGGTGTGCATCGACGGTCCAATTGGGAGGGCCAGAGGCTGAGGGGATATGAGGGGTGAAGGAAGGCCACTACCTGAAGCTCAAACACGGGGTGGAGGTGGGTGGTGTTTCGGGAATGAGAGCCAGGGGTAAGTGAACCTTGGTCCTTGTATGTGCTGGGGAGTTGAGATCTAAGTTTAGGGCTGTCTTCTATGGGACGGAGCAAGGGTTATGACAGGTATTGTTGGTAACTCACGAGTAATATTCCCCCATGATTTAATCCCTGGTTCCTATAGATGACTTGTGGGGGGACCAAAATCTGGAGGGGGAGACAGGATTACCCCCTGGCTGGAGAAAGATCCGTGATGCTGCGGGCACTTATTATTGGCATGTACCCAGCGGTAGCACTCAGTGGCAGCGCCCAACCTGGGAACTGGGAGGTGCAGAGGACCCTGGAACGGTAGGTAGAATATGAGGAGGGGACCTGAGCTCATGTGTGGCTCAGGGCCTGCTGCTACACTGACTAATCTATACTCCATAGGGGACGGAGGGGATTTGGGAACTTCGACCCCCCAAGGGGAGATCCTTCTCCAGCCTGGACAGTTCATTGAACCAGAGGTAACAGGGGTGGCCCAGGTCAAATGAAAGCCTTAGGGTTACTGTGCCACTCAAAAATGAAGCTGGACCCACAATTTGCTTTTTTTTTTTTTTTTTTTTTTTTTTTTTTTTTTTTTTGAGATAGGGTCTCAGGTCTCACTGGCCTGGAACTCACACAGATGATACCGTGCCTGCCCTCCACAGTTTGCTTTTAAACTATAGTTCTGGACTCTGTTCATTTAGGGCTCAATTTGTGTTTGGCTTTGTCCCATGCGTTTGCCTTTGAGCACTTTGCATTTTGTCTGTTACAAGTTCTTATCATTAGGCCTATGTTCTGTGTCCCCTGTCCTGACCCATCATGTTCTAGTAGACCCTGTCCGTTGGCTTTTTTTTTTGGGGGGGGGGGTGTTTCCTATTCTGTTCTAGAGTCTCTTGTTCTAGTTTGAGGCTTTTGTCCACATTTTTAATTCATATCTATATTTCTGTCTTTTATTCTATGCCTGTGTCTTATGTCCTGGATTTCTTCAAATTCTAAACTAAAATTTGTTACTATATTCTGGGTCTCCTTTCTGGGTTTACATTTGTGGTGCTATATGTCAGGTCTTGTCCCAAATTCTGTGCTTGATCAAGTAGGCTAGGTTTCATCATTGTCCCTAGTGTAGGAATACTAATCCTTTTACTGTCTGTACTCTATTCCAGTAACTCTCTAACATGGTATGGTGAAGATTCCTATGTCCGGAGCCTGGAGCCAGGAGCTAAGGTAGTGATTGGACCTGATGGCCAATTTAAGGTATTGGGAGACCTCAAGGGAAAGATTGGGGCTAGAATAATAATGAGTGGGGTTGATTAAGTGTAAAGAATAGGACTACCGAGTTTGTCTGTATGGATCCTGTGTCATCCACCACTGCATCCCACATCTTGTCACGTCTGTCTCCCTGACTTGTCAGTGCTTTGCAGTCCGCTCTCTGGGCTGGGTGGAAGTACCCGAGGAGGACCTGGCGCCAGGGAAGAGCAGTATTGCTGTCAATAACTGTATCCAGCAGCTGGCCCAGACTCGTCACAGGAGCCAGCCCCATGATGGTGCCTGGGGTGAGGTGAGCTGTCTCATTTCTCCAGGGGCTCAGCCTCTGGCTAGGCAGAAGTAGGTTTTCCCTGAATTGCTTGTTTGCAATGTTAGCTATCTTTACCTGTGAACTATCTGTCCTTGGCAGGGCCAGAACATGTTGATGATCCTTAAGAAAGATGCTATGAGCCTGGTGAACCCCCTGGACCACAGTCTGATCCACTGTCAGCCTCTGGTTCACATCCGCGTCTGGGGTGTGGGCAGCTCCAAGGGCCGGTGAGGACTTCTGCGTTCCCCCAAGCGAGAATTGCATCACCCTTCCCCCTTGCAGGCTGTGATTCCCACTGATGCTGAACCCTTGGACACAGATCCTCTGATGTGGAGCCAGCATGGCCTTCCCTGCCTGATTCAGTCCTGGTTGGGGTGGGTGGGCCCAGCTCAGCAGGGACAGATAGGGGAGAGTCTGAGAGGATGGGCTGATTTTATCCTGTGCTCCCACATGCTTCTGGAACAGTGACAGGTATGTGATAACTAGTTACTCTGAGCCCTGTTCTGACTTCCCCATTCCAACTGTGTCATATCTTGAACCAGGCACTTAGAAGCCCCTGCCCCTAATCAGCCTATCCCTGCCCATCAGGGACTTTGCCTTTGTCGCGGGTGACAAAGACAGCTGTATGCTCAAGTGTCATGTGTTTCGCTGTGATGTACCTGCAAAGGCCATTGCAAGTGCTCTACAGGGGCTCTGTGCACAGGTGAGGGCCAGTGGTGGGCAGGGGATATGGAGTTGGGATAGGGTGGGCTTGGCCCCTTACCCTGATTTCCTTTCTTTGTGTGTGCCTCATGCTGGATGCACTGTATTTTAGATCTTGTCTGAGAGGATAGGAGTCAGTGGAGAAGCTGCTTGCTGTTCCCCAGATCCTATTTCCCCCGAAGACTTCCCAAGGCAAGGTATGGGGAGGGCTCGCTGCATTGCAATATTGGGCTGCTTTAGTGAAAGATGGATATGGTGAGAGTGTGGGGTTCCTGGTTATTTAGCTTCTCCCTGGAGAATCTAGATCCAAGGATCCAAAGCAGTAAATTGAAGGTGCATCTGCAGGTTTTCCTTTGCTCACAACAGCTCTAGTTTGAGTTCTGGCACATCCATTAGGGTGGAGAAGCTAGGGGTGGTGAGGTATGCCTGTAAGGTATGGAAGGCAGAGATAGGAAGACTATCAAGAGTTTAAGGTTAGCCTGTTCTTCATAGCAAGTTCCAGGCCAGCCAGAGCTGATTACATAGGGAAACCTGTACATAGTGGTGTAGTCACAGGCAGGGTTGGGAAAGGGGCAGTTGAGTTTCTATGCTAGATTGGTACTTGGTATGTATATTTCAGTGGAGTTGCTGGATGCAGTGAGCCAGGCTGCTCAGAAGTATGAGGCACTGTACATGGGCATCCTACCAGTCAACAAAGCCATGGGTGAGGACTGAGGGGATTGATGGGTGAGGTGCAAGCTACACTGTATCTAGTCTTAGAGTTCTTGCATGACCTTATACAGTTTGGGATATATACCCATTCTTCCAGCACAGAATTCCAAGCTCAGCCCCAACTATTCTTTTACCATCTTTCTGAACCCCAAGTTAGTTAATAAGAGAGTTCTAGAAATTCCCTACAGACCCCTTCTATCCAAGCCAGACAGCACAGTAGGCCTGTCTCCTCAGGTATGGATGTGCTGAATGAGGCCATTGGCACCCTCACTGCCCGGGGGGACCAGAAAACCTGGGTCCCTGCTATGCTCAGTGTGTCTGACTCTCTGATGATTGCACATCCCATTCAGGTACCACAAGGGTGAAGTCCAGGGCTTTGGAGGGTGAGCAGGCATGTTGGGGTGGGGGATGTGTCTTTACTTGGTTCAGAGGGTATTGGGTCTAGCCACTGCTGAACTCTGTAGTGACCAGGCTTTGTGTGGGTAGGCAGAGGCTAGTGCAGAGGAAGAGCCACTGTGGCAGTGCCCTGTGCGCCTCGTGACCTTTATTGGTGTTGGCCGTGACCCACATACCTTCGGCCTCATCGCTGACCTTGGTTGTCAGAGCTTCCAGTGTGCAGCCTTCTGGTGCCAGCCTCATGCTGGGGGACTCTCTGAAGCTGTGCAAGCTGCCTGTATGGTGAGTTAGGGATGGGATGGGAATGGGAGGGGTTTTCTTTGCAGCTGCTCTGTACTGTGGAGAGGGTCAACATGGACATGAAGGGGAAAAAGAAAAGCACCCGTGAAGCGTGCCAGGTGAAGAGGTATAGGGCAGATGTGCCAGAGAACCTTAGGAGTGGATATGAGAGATGATAGTGGGTTAGAGTACCCGAAAACCTGGGGTGCATGGCCTGCAAAAGGAAGTAACGATAGATGAGAATAGAGAGAATAACAGAAATGGGTCATGAGAACTTACAGATTAGCCGTGGGCACTGAGGACCTTTGAAAGATTTTAAACAGGATGTTAAGTGAGATTTGTAGGTTTTACCTACTTAAGCTACAGTGCAGGTAAACAAGAGGAGGTAGAAAGATTAAGTAGTATCTGCTCTAAGAATTTGATTAGGACAGTTATTTTTGGAATGAGTTGGGTTTATAGACTTTCCCTTCACTAGAGAATCTGCTTTACCAGATACTGTTACAGCACAGTGAGGGATGGAGGAGAGTCTCTTCTGGTAGGTGTAGTTAAGAGTGCAAGCTTTGGCCAGGTGGTGGTGACACAGGCCTTTAAGCAGCCCTCGGGAAGCAGAGGTGGGCAGATCTCTGAATTTCTAGGCCAGCCTGGTCTACAGAATGAGTTCCAGGATAGCCAAGGTTGCACAGAGAAACTGTCTCGGAAAACTGAAAAACAAACAGAAGTGCAAGCTTTACAGCTGGACTTACTTACATCTGAATCCCAGCTCATTTGTGAGACCTTAGACCAGCGGTTCTCAATCTTGCTAATACAGTGATCCTTTAATACAGTTCCTTGTGTTGTGGTGACCCCTCCCCCTCAGCCATAGAGTGATTTCATTGCTACTTCATAACTGTAATTTTGCTATTGTTACAAATGGTAATGTAAAGATGATTACTTAAAATGTAAATAAATAAAATCTGTTATGCAGGATTATCTGATATGTGATCGCCCCACAGATTAAGAACCACTGTTTTAGACAAATCATCTCTCTGAATCTTGGTATCATTTGCAAGATGAGTATAGCAACACCTCATAAATAATGAGGTTAAATTCAATTATCATACTAAGCACTTAACCCAGTGTCTAGCTTTCCTTAAATGCTCAATAAATGTCAAGGTGTATGTTTTTGTTGTTGAGTTACCTGGGAATGCTATAGGGACCAAAGACATGATTATGTACCAGATAAAATTCTTGGCTGTTTACATGCCTTATAGAAGCTTTCAGGTATCCATGGACAGAAAGCTGGATGCTCACACTCCACTTCTTCCTAGGTTCAGTACCAGAAGTGTCTGGTGGCCTCAGCAGCTCGGGGTAAGACCTGGGGTGCCCAGGCCCGTGCCCGCCTTCGGCTCAAGCGGACCAGCTCCATGGACTCTCCTGGTGGCCCCCTGCCTCCCCCCCTACTCAAAGGAGGGGTTGGAGGTGCAGGAGCAACTCCTCGAAAGAGGGGCGTCTTCTCATTTCTTGATGCCTTCAGGCTAAAACCTTCTCTTCTCCATATGTCCTAAATTGATCATAGAGGGCTGGGGAAGGAGACTCTATACTCCTTCAGTCCCCAGGGTTCTGTAGCCTCTCACCTTCCTGCCTATCCCTGATCCTTGCCTACCCTATATTTATTACCAAGTTTGTTGTTTATATGGATGACCAAGAGGCCCTGCACTATAACTTCGGCCCCTAGTGCCCTTTTCCTTGGGTTCTTTTGTTCCTTGCCCCTGTCCAACCCTGGACAATTGGCTCTACCTCAGCAACTTTATAGCAGAATCAGTGCAAATAAAAATCCCGCAGTGACCTCACTAGTTGTGAGTATATGAGACATGGGATAAGGTTGGGGGCCATCAACCTGATCAGCCTGTGTGAGGTGTGTGTGTGCTTGGTGTTGGTGACTGCTTTTAGTCACAACGAAGACATGGTTCATAATGGAAATCTGACTACATTCAGCAAACACTTTTTACGATTTTTTTTGTTTTGTTTTTTTTTTTTTGGTATCAGATATTAGAGATATTATTTGTCAGGATTCCTTCTGAGACTTTCAGAGGAGTAATGACTTCAGAGAAGCAGAAGATACCAGGAACTACCAGAGGGTTGTGGGAGCTCAGATGAGATTTATCCAAGGCATTTCAGAAGACTTCAGAAGAGTTTACATATTTGAGTACTGAAGATCTCGTTAGTAAGCCTAGAGAAAATGTAAAAATTGTGCAGGGCAGTATACTTATATGCAAGCTTTCAGAGGTTGATGTGATTAGGTTCAGCAGATACTTCTGGTGTTTGACTTTGTTCCTGAGAGCAAACCAGGAGACATTAGAAAAACCTACCTGTTTGGTGCTGCGTGACAAGGCCTTCATATCATTAGCCAGTTGTCCTTAAGGAACGACTGCCTGGCTTTCTGGGCAGCCCCTCCTATACCACCAGGCAGCTGGACTGAGTGAGCGAGCTACCCCGGAAATGACGCGCTGCCTTGCTGGCAGTGCGGAAGTGGAGATGGCGGAGCTCTATGTGAAACCGGGTGAGCACTGCGGGTGGGCGGTTGGGGGTACTGGGAGTGAACTCTGACTCCCCTCCACCCCAGACCCCAAAGTAACCTTTGTTGGGTTCCCGGTTTCGTTTCACACACTTCCTTGCCTTCGCAGGCAACAAGGAACGCGGTTGGAACGACCCTCCGCAGTTTTCTTACGGGCTGCAGACTCAGACTGGTGGACCCAAACGCACACCCCTTACTAAGAGGGTCGCGGCCCCACAGGATGGATCCCCTAGAGGTGCGTAAGGCCATGCGGGGAATCGTGTACAGAGAAATAGTTTGGGATAAGCCTGTCTCATCGGCCTGTTTTCCTCTTCCAAGGACTCGATTAGGAGAGGAGTTGGGAGCCGGTAAGGCTTAGCGCAGGCTTTTGTAGCCGGTTCTTTCTGCATTCCTGGTCAGTAAATGGCATGTTGGACAAAAAGGTCTATGCTCATTCACATAGTTTCCAAATGTTTCCTGCCTAGATGTCTTCCCAGAACCCTATGATCTTTGTGTTATAAGCATCTCAGACTTTGTTACTTACTCATTTGTTTAATTGGTATTTACTGAGCGTTTGTCAAGCCAGGCACTTCTGAGTGTAAACGAAAAAGCAGTGAACAAGCTAAAAGGTCTTGGTAGGGACTCTGGAGAGAAAACAGGGGAAGCAATAGTTTCCAAGTAACTAAGGTGTCTGGGGGTGCTATTTAAGTAAACACGGAAATGTGACCAAGAAGCATTAAGAGATGCAAAAGCATTTTAAGCACAAGAAACAGGTAAGTGCAAATTCTCTGAGATGAGAATAACTTTGCCTGGTTCAGAAACTGAAGTAGAGTGCTCCAAAAAAAGACCTTTCTAGTGGAATGTTGGAAGATAGGTATGGAGGTGGTGGGATGCTATATTTGATTTGATGTAATGGACTTGAACATCATCCCCTATGGAGAGGGTGTGGATTTTCAGACCTTTTCTGAAAAACAGAAAGTTTTTAGTAAATAGTACAGCCCATTCGTACATTCATGGGATGAAAGAGCAAGAGCCAAGAACTGATCATAAGAGAGAAAAGAAATAATCATAGGAGGGAGACCAAAAGACATAAGTCTGGACTGCAAAATATGAGTGGAGAGATGACTTTTTAACTGTTGAGCCATTTCTCCAGCCCTGAGTGATGCCCTTTTAATAGGTGCAAGCACCTTCTGAGGAAGGACTGTCGCCACAATGGTTGGCAGGTAGATTAAAAGAGTTCCTGAACTGGGCATGGTAGTGTATGGCTATGGTCTCAGTATTCAGGAAGCTGAAGTAGGAAGAATGCCAGACATTTGAAGCCAGTCTGGGTTAGAGTGAAACCCTGTCTCAAACAGCAACAGCAAAAAAATCTCATTTGATGACTTTATCAGTGAAATAAGAGGCATGAGGAAAAATAGGAAGTGTTTACAGAACGTGAAATTTAGAGATATGAAAATGTTTATTTTTGAAGAGTGGAGAAATGCAGTTTTCTGTATCATTTAACATCTGTAAAAAGGGTTAAATTATAATTGGGGGGGGTGTGGAGAAATGTCTCATTGGTTAAGAGTTCTAGAGAAGCTGAGTTTGGTTCAACCAATAAAACAGGGCAATAGGAACTAAGAGTTGAGAAGCTCTGACTAAATTTTGTAGTTCATAAAATATTGTGAACAAAGTAAAAGAGAAAATGGAATAAAATGATCAGTGGAGGGTACTAAGCTTTGTTGCTTGATCCAGTTTGAACATTTCAGCCCCAACTTCAGAAATTTCTGGACAACCTTCAGTGGGTCATCCACCTCCTTCAAGTAAGGCTTCCCGGCCTCCGCCTGTGGGGACTTGTCCTGCTACTGGTGTGGAGCCCCCAAGTTCCCCAGCCACTGAGTCTGAGGCTCTGATGGAAGATGTACTAAGACCTCTGGAACAGGCATTGGAGGACTGCCGTGGCCACACAAAGGTAGGCCCTGGCACTTCAAGGGGTAGAAAGGACTTCTATCCAAACAAGAATGGTTCTTAAAGACAGAGCTCCTGATAGGCCCTTAAAGAATCTCTCAAAGTCTTTCCAGGAAAATGGACACTGATGTGAGGGATTCTCAGGACTTTTAAGGACCCACCAGTAGTAGAGACTTTGTGGGAATGGATTGTATTGAATTCCTGTTAGTGAATTATAAGTTTATTTATTTTTGTAAATTGAGGCCATTCAGAGTGTGTACTCAGTCTGGGAGAGAGAGACAAGCTTTGTATGAAAGTTTCTTCAGCTCTCTGGAGAGCTGGATTGAAGAAAGGGGATGACACAGCATGGTAGTCTCACCATTGACCAGGTTTTCCTTATTTGAACAGTAACATTAAGGTGAGTCCTAAGAGACTGGAGAGATGGCTCAGAGGTTAATAGCACTGGCTGCTCTTCTAGAGATCCTTGAGTTCAATTCCCAGCAACCACATGGTGGCTCACAACCATCTGTAATGAGATCTGGTGCCCTCTTCTGGCCTGCAGGCACACATACAGCCAGAATATTGTATACATAATAAATAAATACATAAATAAATGTTTAGGAAAAGTCTCTGAAGGGCTGGGAAGGCACTGAAAATTTAAAATTCTTGTCATGTGTCTTTTGTCTTTGGAGGAGATCCATAGGTTTCATCATATCCATAATGCCTCTCTGTGTGGGGTGGGGACAAGGGGGTGGGGGATGGGTTGTGGGGCCCTCTAACCTGTGAGTAAAAGAATATGAACTCTAATGACCACGAGTCAAACTCCTGAAAAAGAGAAAGCGCATACTGGCAGCAGTGAGTTGGATGATTTCTGTCTCAGAAACAGGTATATGATGATATCAGCCGACGCTTGGCACTGCTTCAGGAACAGTGGGCTGGAGGGAAGCTGTCAATACCTGTAAAGAAGAGGATGGCACTACTTGTGCAAGGTATGGGTGGGGTCCTTTATCCCACAACTGATAGCTGAACTGACAGATGAAGAGGTGTTTACTTATCGGGAAGGGAGGAATGGCAGACGTGACTTTTACTGCATTTGCTTGCTCAAGCCCTGTTTCTCCTCAGAACTTTTACACCACCAGTGGGATGCAGCAGATGATATTCACCGCTCACTTATGGTTGACCATGTGACTGAGGTCAGTCAGTGGATGGTGGGAGTTAAAAGATTAATTGCAGAAAAGAGGAGTCTGTCTTCAGAGGAGGCCAAAGAAGAGAAATCTACAGTAATACCTGAGAACCAGACAGTACTGGGCTTCCACAGTCTTCATAACCCTGGGGGCTCCCTGGACTCACTCAAATGATCTCCTATGCTTTGGTGTGGAAGGCCTCTTGTCACTTGGCTCCCATTACCACCAGGGAGACTATTGGTCCTGACCAAAGCTCTACCTGGGCCAATGCAAGATCACTTGTTATTCATAATATGCACATTTCAATAAACATCTCAATGATGGGAAGTGGGTAGGAAAGATGAGCCATTCTGATGCCAGACTGGTTCTTTCTGGTGTCAGTTTCCCTGTTCCGTGAATACCATTCCTTGTTCCATTCATCAGGAGGGGCCTCGAGGGCATATTGCTACCTGCTTTTTAGAGTAAAAAAGCACACTCTTTGTAATGTGGTGGGTACGTTGTTGGCTAATTTCATTTCAGCCTGAAACAGCTGGAAATTTTCCTGTCAGAAGAGACCATTCCTTTTGCTCGGTCTTTGGTGTATTGTTTGGGGTTTCTGCTGTTTAAACTGAACGAGAAAAAGACCAGATTTCAACATTACTGTTGGGTGTAGTAGCACATACCTATAGCCCTAACATTTCAGACATGGCAGGAAGAGGTTAGCCTGTACTACATAGTGAGTTTGAGGCCACCTTAAGCTATGTTGAGATGCTGTTTCAACAACAAAGATTAGATTACTGATATTTGAGGTTAAGATGATCTGATTTACCAAGCAAGGTGTTACCTCATTTTGGGTTTTAGTGTAGGCCTTAGTCTTTTATTTTTTCGAGACAGGTTTTCTCTGTGTATCTGCCTGCCTCTGCCTCCCGAGCACTGGGTAAAAGGTATGCACCACCACCACCACCAGGCTAGTCTTCCTTTTTCAAAAAGATTTACTTATGTGAGTGCTCTGTCTGCATGTTTGCCTGCACCCAGAAGAGGACATCAACTTCCATTATAGAAGGTTGTGAGAGACATTTTTAGTTGCTGGGACTTGAACTCAAGGCCTGGAAGAATAACCAGTGTTCTTAAGTGCTGAGCCAACTCTCCAGCCCTGTCCCACCAGTCTTTTCTAACACTTTTTTTTTTTTTTAAAAGAAATAGCTGGAAGCAGAAATGTACTGGTGATTATGCTGAGAAGAGAGATACAAGGTTTCCAGGATTGAACTGGGGATTGGTACTTAGAGGTAGAAAGTAGAAAAGGCAGGGAAGACACTGAGAGTGGCTGTTAGCTGAAACAGCATCTCTTCCATGAGTTCACTTTACAAACCGTTGGGGGTAGGGACCTTGCTTCCTCGAAAGACAGGAACAAGCAGCCCTTGGCAAGGCTCAGGCTGTTGCTGTTGATGGCCTGGCACTGCAGCAACCTTCTCATAGCCTGCTTCAAGCCCTAATTGCTGCAGGAAGTGGGCCAGTGGGAGCCGGTGAGCAGCGCTAGGGCCTCTTAGTCAGGGCTGCTGAGTGGCTGAGAGTTGGGCACTGAGGAGAACACTGGAGCCAAGACATTTTGTTGTATGTTTACTAAGCAGCCAGAAGGTGACATATTCTGTTCCCCAGTGCCAGCCCTGAGGAGTATGTATAGACCAGAGAAAGCTAAAAGGGCTTGGCAAGTGCCCACTGCTATCCCTGGTCCAGCTGCCTCAGAACTAGAGGAAGCCCAGAACCAACAAGTCACTCTTCTTCCAGATTAGATGAGGCCAGCCGGCCTTTGGATGCCCTAGAAGAGGTGGTGGCAACAGAGGCATAAGGATCCTTTTGTAACTCCACAGTCATCTTCTATTGGATTACATGTCCATTTCAAACTGTTCGTCATCTGGGGAGAGAAGTCAAAAGAGCAGTTACTTGTCTCAAGTGTTTGTAAGCCCAGTCACTACGGAAACCCCTCTTGAAATTGAACCCCAACTCCACAAAGGCATTTCATTGCTAGTCCTACTTTCTTACCGGTTATCTCTTCCTCTGTCTGCTTCCGTTCCTTCAGCAACTCCAGCTTGGAGGGTGGGACTGTTGGAGTCGTGACCCCGGGAATCTGAGGGAGGCAGCAGGGAAGTGTCCGGGCAATGGGTGAGTTCTTGCACTCCAGCAGGAACTTTCGGTCGTAGATGATCCTGGTGCCTGCGAAGGAGTAAGGGCTGAAGTTAAGAACCAGGAACTTGAACACATTACTGCCCGGCTAGGATTCAACTGGCAAGTCACACCACAAAAGACATGCCCAACCAGCCTAAGCAACATTAAGGCAAGTTGAACATTCTAGCTAGTCTAAATAGGTACCCTGGGCCAGGATAGTGGTGGTAGGTAGTCTCAAAATCCTTTAGGGCTAGCTTCACCCATGGGCACATGGCCAGCAGTGTCCTCAAAGAGCCCCACTCTATTCTATTTCTTATGCTCCCACATGGCATAAACCTGTTTGTTTGCCAGCCCAGCAGCTCATGACTAAGTGCTGCGCTACTACACTACATAAAACTTGGTTTCTGTTGTGGGCACTGTCTATGCAGTGGTTCTCAATCTGTGGGTCGCAACTCTCACAGGAGTCACCTAAGACCATCAGAAAACAGATGTTTACACTATGAGTCATAACAGTAGCAAACTTAGTTATGGAGTAGCAATGAAAGTAATTTTATAGTTGAAGACCACCATAACATGAACTGTTTAAAGGGTCGCAACATCAGTATGAAGCATAGTGAATTACTGCCCAGAACATTGCTTTGAGTTTTTTTTGTAAAACAGTTTCATATAGACTTTCTCAATCTTGGGAAGAAGTCCACACAACCAATTCCAAGGTTCATCCCATCCCATCCCATCCCACCCCTGCTGACCTCCCCGGGTAGTGGCATATAGTGCCCCCCCCATGCTGCTGTAGCCGTTTGAGAGCCGGTCTTGGCACCCTGGAATAGGGCAACTTGTGGATGTGAACATAGCGAGAGCAGGAAGACTAATAGCGATTGCCTTGAAAGCATGGAAAGCCCGGAAAACAGGTTTGAGTAGTAGGCAGTCTCAGTGACCACGTGTGGCAACTGGCAACAACACTAATATACGTCACGCCCGGGGTGGGCCATTGGCTAGTCACTCAAACTGAGGGTTCCGCCCACCCGCCCAGGAACTCTCAGGATCTGCTGGGACTTGAGAGATTCAGAAGTTTATTTGCTAGTTAATCCTGGATGCTGGGAATTATGGCTGTGCCCATTTCTTTCAACAGTTATGATGAAAACATGCCCACAGATCTTGTAGAAGATAGGACTCCACCTGAGTGGGTCCTTCAGCCCAGTTTTGTAGTGCCCCTGGTAGCAAACTGCTGTACTTGGTCAAAGTGTCTTGATGTTCTGCCCTTTGAGTATAGCAGGAAGTCAGAGGCTTTTTCAGTGTGACACTAGGTCTACTCAGAGTTCAGGGGCAGGGAAGGCTGTAGTCAAGACATCAAGAATGCAGAAGCTAGCCCTTTGATGGACATAGATAACTACAGGCTCGGTGCTGAAGGCTTAGCCTGCTAGCTCTCTGGAAGGGAACATCAAAGATAGGTTTGCCTTGCCTCAGACAGTGAACTTTAAGCTGGGCGGTGGTAGCGCACACCTTTAATCCCAGCACTCGGGAGGCAGAGGCAGGTGGATCTCTGTGAGCAAGACCAGCAGCCTGGTCTATAAGAGCTAGTTCCAGGGCAGCCTCCAAAACCAGAGAGAAGCCCTGTCTCAAAAAACCAAAACCAAAAAAAAAAAAAAAAAAAAAAAAAAAAAGTGAACTTTATTTTTTTTAGATTATTATTATTTTAGATAGGATCTCACTGTGTCCTCCTAGCTGGTCTGAACTTGGTATGTAGACCAGGCTGGCTTTCAACTCAGAGATCTGCCTGCCTCTGCCTCTGAGTATTGCTTAAAGGCATGCACCACCCAGTCTGGCTGAGCTTGATATGACAGACAATTCTTGTTAATGCAGAAGTTGTAGGTTTTCAGAATCACATTCCAGGTAGCAGGTGTACATATATTTTATTATTCCTCAAAAGACATTGGAGTCTCTTACAAAATGGTACAAGTGTAAGCAGATTATGGGTAACTGTCTAACAATTTCACTTTTAAGCAAAGTGAAGAAGTAGCCTGATAGTTAAGAGTAGGGTATGGAGTAGAGAGGGTACTGAAGATGAGTCCATTGCACAGTGGCAACGGAGACAGAAAAAGGGACAAAATTCAGATACACAGAAGAACAAAATAGGGGGAAGTGAGATTAAGGCACTTGCTGTCAAGCCTGATTGATCTAAATTCCATCTCTGGGACCTCATGAAGGAAAGAATTAATTCCCGCAAGCAGTCCTCTAACACAGGCATGGTGATATGCCCCTTCCCCCAACAAATGTAATAAAAAATTAAAGGTGGAAGGTGAAGTGATCTACTCAAGGGCAAGTTAAGGAAAATGGAGATAAGCTAGGGTAACTCCCAATTTCCTGGTTTGACAATCTTGGTAGCTGGAACTGTAAAAGTGAAAACACAAAGGGGCATATCTTATGTTAAGCAATGAATACTGTGTTCAGAGTAACAAGATACTAACAACAAAGAGCTGTAATAACTGGTCAGAAGTTCAAGGGGAAAACTACTTATTCAGACATGAATAAAATGAAATACAAGAGTATGGGATGCTATCATATGAGAAGATGCAGTGTTAAGAAGAGGTCTAGCACACTAGTATTTAATTAAGAAAATTATTCACCAAACAGGCAAAGAAAAAGCAGAAATAGAACTAAAGGGGCTGGTTGTAAGTGGTGGCACGCTCTTTAGTCCCAGCACTTGGAAGGCAGAAGCAGGCAGATCCTCAAGTTTGAGGCCACTCAGGTCTACATAGTGAGACAATGCAAAAATTATATGGACTGAAGATGTAGCCTAGCTGGTAGAGTGCTTTGTGTATCATGCCTGAGGTCCTGGGTTTAATCCCTAGCACTGCCAAAATGAAAACAAAACCCAAACAAATTCTAGAGGTTTTCAAGAAAGGTGCATGTCAAGTGTTATCTTCATTCTTTGAACTTCTACTATAAAACAGCAGCCAGTATAATACTATTGCTTTTCTTGGGTAACTTTTCTATAACATACTTTGGGCTGACAGGCTAGGAAACTAGAAAGCCAGACCACACACACACACACACACACACACACACACACACACACACACACACACACACCCTGGATAAAGCATCAGAAGTTTATGTCACAGGGTTAACACTAATTACCATTTGGCACAGAAACAAAAGCCACCAACCAAAAACTATGCCTAGGGTTAACTACCAGAAATAC